AAAAAAAAAAAAAAAAAAAAAAAAAAGTTTATCGTAGAGTGTTACTTTTATTATGATTATTTAATCGTAATTTACGATTCTGGAATTATTGGTATCGAGAACGTATAATATTTTGTAGGACGACGCATCGTTAGCTTCTGATAATAAATTCAGCCAATCAATTATAACGGGTGGAATAGAAATTGACGATCGAGCATTTTACACCTGTAAGGATGGAGGGTGAAACAAATTTTAAAATTTGTCACGATATTTATTTTTATAGCTTACCGAGTAATTTTACTATTGTAATCATATGATCGTTAAAATTTTTGCATTTGCAAATTTTATTAGGAAGCTACGTGCTGTTATCGATGATTTCTTATAAAATTTTATTGTCTCGTCGGTACAGTCGTTATCTACTTACTTGCTCGTAGCGTGTTAACCGAGAATCTCGTATGTAATCAAAGATTGAATCACGTGTCTGTAATTGCCTGCAGTGGCGGTGCTTTCACACTCGAGTTAATCATGTGCATTGGCTCCATTCGCATAGAGTCCCGCCTGCATTAGGGCAACCGAAGCTTTACCGAATTCTCTACGAAACGCGATATACCAGCTGCTCCTGCGATTCTACTTCATTCGGCAACTAATGCACGTTTCGCTTAGATCCAAATACTTGAGAATTAGATTTAACGTTGCTTCTATACGAGACTCGAATATACGTGAGGTCATTGAAATACTCCACTTTTGCATATAATTATATCCCTTATTAAATATATAGAATAATCAAGTGGATCCAATATGTCAATACGAATTGTGTCAATAGACGGATATAACGTTATATTAATGAAATATAACGAAAATATATTACATGAAATTTAATATACAATAAAGTCACCCAGTCTCGTTATATCGTTTGACAATTTTATAACGGGATATTATTTTCTATGCGAAACATTATTTTTAACAACTCAAGTATACTCGTATGCACTTTTACCCAGAAGTGCATCAAAGTTGAACAGGATTAAAGTGACTCTCGCGCATTCGATTACCTTAGCTATTTAGATGGGTATTTATCCATCTTTAAATTAAATCTTTTAACGCCAACGACACTCGGGATACTGGTACGTGCAAAATTTCATACTGCTTTTCCTTTATTAGGGAAACTACCCTATGTGCGGTATAATCCATAGGGAGGTTTGCGGACAATTATGGCACCAGATGCATGTACGTTATAACGCCCAGTTCTCTGCTACCCGCAAGTTTTACGATTGCCAACCGACTAATTTGATTCGCACAGGGATTTTGCGCTGCTTCGAGTTTAATTACTTTCGTAATGAAGCAATCATCGATTGGCATACGTTATACAGGGTGTAAATGAATATAATAATTTTGAATAATAAGATGGTTTTCCTCTTTTGTTTTCCCTTGAATTTTTTGATGGCGAAAAGTCGCGTTTTCACGATCCGTGAAACGAGACAAAACGCCGTCTTCACGTAATTCTAAAAGTTACATACAGTTCGTAGATGTTATCCCGTGACAGCAGCAATAAGCAGTCTATGGAAATTCGTTGCTCGTGGATATATTCACGGAATACAAAAGTTGAGCCGTACAGCCGGTAGAAAAGGAGAAAACTAAAGTTGAAAGGTATTGCGCTTGAGGGAAATAAGGCATGGGTTTAATTTAAAGAGAAAAATGAGAGCTTCCCAACAGATGGCGTTAGTGGCAGGTATCAAGAGTATTTCCACAGCTCGTACATTTGTTACGATAACAAAGTGACTGGAATATCCTTCTTGCTATGTGGAAGAACAAGAAACGACGCTCAGTCTTGTTTCGAGTAATAGCAAGAAGAACGGCGGTAATAATAAAAAAAAGGAAAACCTAAGATAATAGTACAAGCACCCAAAAAACATCCAAGACAATACAGATAGGGAAGCTCGTTAACTCCCTCGACTAGGATGAATTGCGGTTTTACATTTTTTTTGTTAAAAAAAAAAAAAAATTCATCTTTACTCGTACTCGCAAAAAATGGCGACATTCTTGGCTAAAAGGCTATGCTTCGAAATGAACATTTTCTCTGATAACGAAATTTCTCTTGACTACCGACTGCTAATGGGAACCGCATGAAAATCACTGGTACCCCACTGGTTTCTGCGCTCCCTCGTTATCCTCTGGGCAATTGTGGTAAGAAATTACGGTAACTTTTGTGTTCAACGTATAAACAAGTTTGGGTGAAATAAACCTGAAATTTAATGGTCTACCCTATCGCGTGGGTAGAGAGGTGGGTGGTACTTTTTGTGAATTTAGGTGAATTTTGGGAATTTCATGTATTTTTTAAGTTACGATTGGATCCAGTATGCACTGGATGAACAGTGCATTGGATCTGTGGCGCAGATGCATCTTCGATGACGTATCCGTTCGACTCGAGAAATCTGTCGGCTGGACCAAATTTTGTTTGTCTCTGTTAAAGTTGACTCTTTGGCATATTTACGTAATCCCTTTTTTAATTACACGTATCAAGATTATCATTTCTTATTTTCTCGTTCCAGTTGCTTGGACTTGGCATCATGGCAGTGGGAGTCTGGGCGTGGACCGAAAAGGACACCTTTAACAATCTATCTCGTCTCACGAACGTCGCACTCGACCCAGCATTTATTCTCATTCTAGTCGGTGAGTTTACGAATCTTCCTGGAAACTCTATAAATATTAACTCGGACAGTCAGACCAAATCCAACCGTACGATATACATGGGAATTTAATTCAAATTCGTAATACGATGTCAGCCAATACGATGTCAAAGGTCATTTTGATTGTGCAACGTAATTTCGAATTTATCACATAGCGCAACAACTGCATATCGAACGATGCACTTTGATGCAAATTCACAAAAGCCCACGATGGGTTCACTAATTTCACCTTACTCGCAACCCTCGAAAAATAGTCTTCGTGCCTGCGTGGATTTTTCACCAATAAAAAAGGCATCAACCCTTGCGACATCTTTTTTTCAGTACACGTGCACTAGAATTCCGAGTAGGGGTAGCGAAAGACGTTTGTAAAATTTTTTGGTTAGAAAAATCGTCGGGATGGGATGGAGGTTGAACGAGAGCCCTAGGCTATCGCAAAATGCTCTTACGACTAGGTCGGTCGGGGGGTGGCGGAGGGGGGGGGTACGGGCGTCGAGAGGGTTGGTCGCATTATTTTCTCATAGCTCGGGCCAGGATCCTCATTAAAGGGCACAACGAAATGGTAACTCGTGAAATCGGGGTGGAACAAGACAAAGGGGCTTTAACGGGATGCAAAGAAAAGCTCAGGAAAATGGAACGAATCCTTGGTTACACAGATATGAGACTTAAAGGAAAGTGGAGGCTTTTTCTTTTAGGTACCACAAGTGTATAAATAAAAAGAAAATTGTAAAAATATTTTATCTTCAGTTTTCTACTTCTTAGAGATTATAACGGCGCACGGGTACAGTGGGTAATAAAATATATATATATTTTTTTATTTTCTTCATTTACGGCTGTCTGTCATTATTTCGAATTACACGAAGCCCCGGAGACATTCGAGCTGTCTGCTTATCTCGTTTGACGTGATTCTATCTAATGACCGAATGTCAGGGTGGACCTGTAGGAGATGGGCGAAACTTCATTTGAATTACAAAGTGATACTACCTCAGATTAATTAGTTCCTTTGTGATTCTCGCGGTTTGACTTTGATACGCTATACTGGTCCATAGCCTTTTCTGCGGTCTGTTACTCGCGTAGATACATAGCTATAGTTTGTTTCTCTTTGTTAGCAGCCCAGGTACAGTCGTGGGTTTCGAGTTGTTCTTCATTCCGAGAAATTACGTTGGCATCTATGCGATTTCGCCGAGCACAAGGATAGCTGAGATTTATTTTAATTTTCTTCCCCGTAGGGATGCTGGACCGAAGAAAGATAATTGCTCTCGTCAGATTTACATGACTTTGAAGTTTCATTCAAGAACGATAATAACTAAGGGAAACTTCAATGCAGGATAATATTTATTAATAAATCATAATGTACCTTGACATACTTTCTGACGGTAATTGGAAATTTAATACTGGGGGTATATATCTATTTAATTAACGTAGCAACCGATACCGGAGCAAGATATTTTGAAAATGTCAAGTATCTCATTTTCAAGTTGACGTTATCCCTGGATATTCTCATCGAGTATAGTTGCGTAGACCGTTTTTTTCTCATTTCTTTTCACTGATAAAATTAAGAAGCGTCTAGTAGGTATTTTTAGAAAATTATTATTTCAAGCCGTGCTCAAGTTTTACAATAAAATATTTATTTGCACTTAACAATTTTAGTCCTCTGTCACGACGGTTTATACTCGTTCAAAGATTAACTATAAATTTTGAAAAAAAATTTGAAAATTTTTTTTATCGAAATTGCCCTAAAAATCTATTAAATGCTCGATTAAAGAAGAGTAAGAATAAAAAATGAAGAGTCCCATAGAAGGAAAGATATTAAGAAAAAAAAAATTGTCCATAGACACTCATAGGTATATTTGCATGGCTGCCAACATCTAGAATCAAGCTCGGCTCAACCTACTTTCAGACAAAGTTTCACTAACGAAGTTCCCTGGATTATAGCCCTTCTACGCAATAGCACGTGCACAGCTACGAATTCGCGATGCAGTACGTGCACACCTAATAATGCACTGGTACCCACTTAAAGGCGAATTCACACAGCAACTTTGTTGTCTAAGCGTCGCCATAAACGAGAAGGTGTACTTGCAAAACTTCGATTTACCATCTTGGTATAAGTTTGATATACACGCGATGACGTCACACCCCGAGTAACTAGGAAAGATTTCAAACCTTAGGCGAGAGTAACTCGACGCCGTGGGGCGTCGCGACGCCGTACCCCATGATGCAACTTTGAGTATGACTACTTGAATAAACCTTGTATATACCAGCTAAACTAACTTCAGACCCTTTACACAGGAATCTCACTAATTTCCGGAAGCTATAGAAATGTCCCCAGAGACGTAGCTGGGTAGCTCAACCGAGCCTCTGCTCGTCCGCCATACTTGTGGCAGATGTAATTTCCTTTTACGTTTATCCTCTGTCAACGTTTATGGCTCGCGCAGATGCCGCGGCTGTCACATCTGTAACAGGCTAATCAGTTGGCACTGATCCCTGATAACGCGTGCCTGACTCACAATCAGTGTTGCCTTGCCTATCATCCCTTTACCTTTCCTACCAATTGGAACACGTCCTTCGACTAATCTCCCTAACTTCTGACAATACTCTGCACGTGTTTCTGCACGGGTTAGATTCGATAATTCAACTTTATTCGATTCTCATTTCATCGCTCGAATTTTATTTCACGTACGTTGCTAGGTATTTATTTTCATTGTATCAGCCGATACGAGTGGATCGTCCTTTCGATAGTCCTTTTTATAGATTATGTAACTTCTATACCTTCGCCATACGCTGGCTGCTTTCCCTTGGACGTACCCTACTTATGACTATTGCCGTAAGGTATGGCGTAACCTCGAGGACTGAGGGATGGTCGTCGTAGAATTAATGTTCGACACTGTTGACAGCCGAATGTTGTTTAATTGATTTTACTTGAAATTCAATAATTTAATGTTTGGTTTAATTAAATTTCGATATAAAAAAAGTCAAACGGTAATAATAATGCATTGATTATTAAGGGATGTTTGCAGAGTAGACGTAATATGAATTGGTCGATTTTACTTCGAATTCATAAATATTACTCGTCTCGATCTAACCCTGAGGTAGGTAAATCCATTTTTATTTTACTTGGGTTATCGATAAATAATTAAAAAGTATCATGACGTAGGTTCTTGTAACAATTTTTATAACGAAATGCCATTCGGTATTGAATCGAACTCTTTCGTTTTTTGCATATATAACTGAAAGTGTTATATATTTTTCAAGATTATATGATAAGCCTCATTAACCATCACATATATCAGGCTCATCCACGTATGCACGTAACCCTACCGGAGAGATACTGGTATACGTGTTTCGATTATCCCACGCTCTAATTACCACAATTTCCTCTAATGGGTAATTTTACTTTCTCGTCCTCGCTTAAATTACCATATAAGGGCATGCAGGACGTCGCACATCGATTTTACTGGTTGCTCTGGTAGTTGAGCTAAACATGGGAGATATAGCATGAGTACTCTTATACCTTGATACTTTTTTTTCAATTTATTTTTTTTTTCAGTATCGCTTAATTGCCACAGTATGCAACGTATACATGTACAACGATATATCTCAAATCGATTTTTTATCTAAAAATTTTTTTTATTTTTCAAATAACGACACGAGATTCTCTCTCTGTCACTGTAGTGATATTTGACTTGCGCTCATATATGCATGTAACGATTCCAACATCAAACGTATGTACGTTTTCGACGTTCTTCGACGAGCTTCGCTGCATCGAGGAGTTAGAATTTTATGAAATTATTTTTTTCTTCTCAGTATACGTCACGCTCTTTTGTTTCTTGTGAAAACGCGGTTAATTGTAACGACGCAATTTATTCTTTTTTTTTCAATAATTTCGCGAGAGGTTACATTCGATGAGTCTTATTAATGTAGTCGATATATTTTTTTTTTTTTTTTCAATACTTTCGCTGTGCGATTACACGGTGTAAAATGGTAATTATAACAAGCTGTGTATGAATTTTGTTTACGTTTTATCTCCTTTATTGCAAAACAGTCGATTTCATCAAAGGGAACGAGGGTAGAGAAAACTACGTACAACGTAAATCTTGCTTGATTAAATTCGAGAGGACTTTGAGAAGTTTCGAAATTTAATTAAAAATGCTTTGTTCAGAAGTTTTCTCTATTTAATTGCAATCTCTGTTTATGGGTAATTTAAGCGTTTGGAGTTTGGTACTTTTATTATATATACGTACTGTGTATATGTAACGAAAAATATATTTTTTTGGAATTTTTCAAACTTTCATCAGTTTACGTTATCATCCCGTATAACAGTAATACAATGTTTACTGTATTATTGGATAGAACTGTACAAACTGGCGTTGGACGTGCAGTACGTGCAAGGATTACAGATAGTTTGTGAATTTTTTTGAAAAAAAAAAGAAAAACCCCCATTGGATTCAAGTTGGTAAGTTAGAGAATTCAAAATTTGGTGGAATTATAATTACGTAATAGTAATTACGTAACATATCCATTTTGATTGTACGTGACACAATTTGTTTTTTTAGCTTGAATTAATAATTAAAATAATTTTTCCATTTTTCATCCTCAACTCCAAGATACAAGAAACCAGTAATTATCTGTTTTTCAAATAACTTTATCTCCTTTATCTATATATATATATATATATATATATTCATCTTCTATTTTTCTTCCTTCCTCGTCCTCCTATTTCTTCCTTATCGAAACGGTCTGATTTCCTCGCGAACACGAATCATCCTTACTTTTATTTTACTTTACTCAATTCCCGCGGATAACGAATCGTGGGAATCCTCTTTCCTGGAAAAGTTCAGCCTTCGAGCAGTGGCTGTAGTCAATTTTACCAATTCCTTCAATTCGTTCAATACGTCTAGCAGACAACTTTTTGGTCTTTTCACCCTGTTCGATGTTCATTCCTGTAAAATAATAAAATTTACTCCCACTCGTACTCACGCAATGCACATGCACGTTTCGATAAATATTTTATATTTCAATTTTGTATATATATATATATATATATATATATATATATATATATATATATGTTTATTACCAAACAAAAGTATAATCCTTTTTCCAATTAAAAACCTTCGAAAACATGTCATCCAGGATTAATCGTCCCTTATGAATAGTTTGTCATGTCCTTCCAGATCTACGCATATCGATGCTTTCATAATAACTGAATCGTTACCCGTGCGAAATTCCGAGCGTTATATGAAATTATGTGCGTCAAGGGCTCGATAAATGTCGCCTGAATAAACTCACGAATAGCAGCGACACCCGCAGTATCAATTCCGTCGAAGTTTTCATCGGCAACAATCATTTACGCAGCAGACCACGTGCACTCGTGACATGACAGGTTAACTACGGATGGACAATCATTGTTTGTTGCAAATGAACAAGATCCACGTAGACCGTAGAGACAATATAAAATGTATCGTTCATCGATATATACATATATATTAAATAACAATCAAACTTCAAGAAATTACATCAGCCAGTCTACATGGAGAAATAATTTTTCAAAAATATTACCCTGAGATCCTTACTCTCTTTTGCTTTGTATCACGTTGTACCTTATATTCACTGAACCGATAATCATATCCGAATGCCCGAGAATACCGATAAATTATGCTTAGGTAGTTATGGGGTAGTTATTAGGTAGTTATTAGATGGTTATGCTTAGGTAAAAAATTCTTCGTCTTATCACTCATTTTTTTTAAATCCTCATACATATACCTCGTTCTAAATGATAATGACTGATAAAAATCAGGCATTGTATTATCAGTGAAATTCCTGAAAAAATACTAGACATTTTTAGTTCACGTAAAGAAAGGGCTGGTGGTAGTGGGGTAGGGAGCTCAACGTTGTTTATCCTTTTACTCCGTTCGAGTTACTTACGAACTATCGGATTAGTATCGACAAGAGAGACGAGGGAGGAAAAAAGAACACGTGGAATATTCATTCCGGTAAAAAAAGCACGAAGATCACTCAGGGAATGATTTACGCTTGAGTGACAGCTGTCAATTTTACCACCAGATGACGTTAACGCGCGTGCATATTTTTTTAGATGAA